CCCTCACAGTAAAGAAGTTTTTCCTTATGTTGAGGCTGACCCTCCTGTGTTCCAGTTGTGACCACTGCCTCTTGTCCTGTCGCCAGACACAACCGAGAAGAGTCTGGTCCCATCCTTCTGACCTCCACCCTTTAGATATCGATAAGCATCAATGAGACCCACTCTCAGTCTCCTCTTCTCCAGGCTGAACAGCCCCAGCTCTCTCAGCCTCTCCTCCTACGGGAGATGCTGCAGTCCCCTCATCATCTCAGTGGCTCCACAGTGGAATTTCTCCAGTCAATACCTATGCATTCCTTGTCCTTCTTGAACTGGAGAAACCAGAACTGGGCACCCACAACCCTGCCCACAAGCTGCCCCTTTGCTCTCTGCCAGCCTGAGGACCCTGGCAGTTCCACTCAGCCTCTGAAGAGGGAGTGGAGGTGGTTGGAAGCATTTGTGGGGCAGGATTTTTAACCCTACCCCATTTCTGCCCACAGGGAGCTGCGGTGGCAGCGGGGGCTGCTGCGGCTGATCCTGGGTGGGAGTGCGGTGCTGCCGGCATGAGGCCACCCTCTCCCCAAGCTCCCACATTGATGGCGGTGGCACCGAACACTTGCCTGGCACCTGCTCCGTGAGGGAAGAAACCAGCTGGTGCAGCACTGCCAGGAGTCACTAATTACTGATATAAACCAATTAAAGCAGCAGGATTAATCCCAGCACCTTCCTCACTGCAATCCTTCCTGCACCCCCGCTTGCTCACCCTCTCCACAGCAGTCCTGCTATGGCTTCGTCACAACCAACCCCGGTGATTCGGTGCTGAGCAGGGCTGTGGGGGTGCATGGGCACCCCACACATGGCCCAAACCCCAGAAAGTCCCTCTGCCACCAATGCATTGGGAACAACATGTGAAGGGCTGAGACAGCATCTGATCTGCCAACTGCACCCCCACCCTGGGGCCAAGCACCCCCTTAACTGAAACATGGGGTCTGGGTCCTGATGTCCCAGTATGAACCAGTTCTGCTGCGAGGACGCTGCTGCTCGCTCTGGCCACGCTGGCTGCTCTCAAGCAGGGCCGCTCCATGCCATCCCTGTGGTGCTGACTCTGCCAGGGACCACAGCAGGACCCCAGCTGCACTGAGTTGCTCGCTGGTGACCAGTAAGGACCACGGAGGTGACCATCAGTAAGATGCAGGAGGTTCGTTTTGGGATGGCAGGGGACCCAGATTGCTGGCTGCAAGGCACGAGCATCCTGGTGCAGCAGCAGGCTGGACACGGACCTGAACCTGCATCTCAGCCTGGGTTTAAGAGCTGAAGGAAACGCTAGCGGTGGAGAACCCTGACCCCACCAGCCTTCCCTTCCTGAGGGAAGCATGGAGGCGAGCAGGTTCCCAGCACATGGAGCCACCTCTGCAGCTCTGCCTGGCCCCATGGCCACAGCCTCTTGTTGTTTATTAAAACCATTAAAAAATTCAGCAGTAAAATAACCCCAACAAAACCCTCAGGAAGGCGTCTTCCTGCCAGCGGCAGCCACCTGGAGCGTGATGCCCATGTCCCAAAAGCCATCAGTGACACAGGCCATGGATCTGGCTCTCGGTGCTGCCTGTCCTCGTCCAACATCCCAGTGCACAGCCACGAAGGCACAGGCAGGACAGCCGTGATGGGCCACGTGGCATGGCGACGGGCCCCGGGGTTGGCATTTAAACACACATCCCACCTCGAAATGGGACCCCTGGACCACAATAAAAGCCAAGCGCAAAGCCGAAGCTGGCATGCATCTGCTCCCACTGTCCTTGAAGAGCAGATGGAGGGGACGTCTCCAGAGGAAAGCAGCGCCAGGGGCTGCTGCACCCCCGGGAAAGCTGGAAACAGAGCTCCCAGTTTAACTGCTCTTTCCTGATAAAGCAAGGACACATTTTTCCAACCAAAGAGGCCCCCAGTGACCCCAAGACTCACTTGGGTGCAAGTGTGATGGGGAGATGGCGGTCCAGGCAGTGGCCTCCATCCCCAAGCACCCCGCTCCATTTGGAAGCACAGACAAAGCAGAACAGTTTCCAAGGAAAAGCCAGATCCCATGTTCCTGCCCTTGCAGGTGCCATGGGTACCCCACCTCCCTGCTGCATCCCCCAGGAGGGCAGGGGACCCATCCTGGGAGCTGCCCAGAGCAGGCATCGGTACTCAGGAGATGCCCAAAATGCTGCTCCACTGTCTCCAGCAGCACCCACAAACTGAGGGAGCACAGGGCAGCAGCGAAGGAACACAGCTGCCAGTGTCACCTTCAAGGGATGCGTGGGGTTGGGAAGGGCGACAGTGGCACATGCTCTTGGCCATGCGTTTTGGCTGTGGAACTGGGCCAAGAAGGAGACAAATCTGGGGTTGCCTTGAAAGCAAGCTCAGGTCCCCTTGCAAAGGGTCTTTCACCCCAACCCACAGGTGCTGCTTCCCAACACCTACAGCTGATGGTATTTTAATTCTAATTTAATTACGAGCTTCTACTCCACAAGGGCTGTTTCTGCCCTGCCAGGCCATGAGCACGCCCTGGACCCGCTCCGGTTTCTCGCTGATGGAGGGATGTCGGTCCCTGGCCCCCATGGGCACCCAAAGGGCTCCTCCTCTGCTGGGAGGCACTGGGAGCAGGGCAGGGGCCCACAGCGGGCATGGAGAGGCTGTATGGGGCAGCCAGACCCTTCCCGCAGCCCCACGGCCCTGCCCACTGCCAGGAAAGGAAACCCCGGGGCTTCCTCTTGTGCAATGGGGCTGGAGGGAAGCGAGAGGAGAGGCCAACGGGGCCCCACTTGCACAATGAGAGCTGCAAAGGGGGTGACACTGCCACACCGGGCCCCTCCTGGCAGGGCCATGGGGATGGGCTGTGGGGCAGAACTCAGTGGGGCAGCACCCAGGGCAGGGCTGGGCCATGGGTGCTCTGTTGAGGCTGGGTGAGCAGCATTGAGAACACTGAGGGCACAGGGAACGTTGCGGGCACCATTAGTGCATCAAGAGCCTCTCAAGCAGAACAAGGAAACCCCAGTGCCATGAGCACAGCCAGCCTCAGGCTGTGCAGGGGGGAGAAGCAGAGTCAGGGGTTCCAGAGCAGGGACCAACCAACCCTAGAACTCTGCCCCAGAGCAGTGGGACCCATTTGAGCGGCTTTTCCTCCCAGGGGGCCATAGAATCACAGGATCTTCTGGTTGGAAAAGACCTTTAAGATCATCGAGTCCAACCATAACCTGTCCACCACCCCCAGCACCTCATCTCCCCGGTTTTTCAGGGATGGTGACTCCACCGCTGCCCTGGGCAGTCCCTTCCAGTGCCTGAAAACCCTTGCAGGGAACAAATTTTTTCCTATCTCCAATCTAAACCTGCCCTGGCACAATTTGAAGTCAAAGGTCCCCAGAAACTCATTCAAGGGGTTTTGCCCGTGGCTTGATATGATGCCACAGCCCTGCCCTAGAATTCTGCACCGTTCCTGCGGGACTCGGGCACAGGGTGATGGAGGGACCCAGACGGTGTGGCAGAGGCTTTCTGAGCACTGAGGAACACTTCCCTCCTTCACACACACACATGCACCCTCTCACGCCCGGCCAGATCTCCCCAAATCACACTCTCAGCCTCCTCTGAACTGTAATCTTCCCCTTCAGGAGCTCAGGAACTGCACAGCACCTGCCTGCTTCTCCTTTCATTTCCAAAAGGAAATGAGAGTTGATTAAAAGAATCCAGAGCTATTGCAAATTATTTGGAGAAACTGAGTAAGTCGCAGTGCAAATCCTCTTAGTAATGCTCCCTCATTTCTCCTTAATTCCTTTCTATAAATGGAGAGCTGGGATGGACCATACCTCTGGAAAACCACTCGCAACCAAGCCCTGCTGACGCAAGGGCGCCAGGGGAAGCGAGCGAGCACAGAGACCTGACTACAAGAAGCCTGGAAAAAAATCTGTGAGCAAAATTAAAATGCAAATCCCAGCCTAGCAAAGCTTCACTCTGGCCCCAGGGGTGTGTAGGACGCAGAGGTGTGGGCAAGCTTTTTGGAGGGTACACGTCTCTCTTTAAACATCGCTCGCCAACTGCACTGAAAAGCAAATCACAGCCTCGCCAGGGCTTGGGAAAGGTTTTTCTCCGGCAAAATCCCAGAGCAAAGCTGTCTGGGTAACACCAGGGGTGCTCAACGCCCTGCTGGGAATGGGTGAGAGCTCCTGGGGTGACCTGGGGCGGCCGTGGGCCCCCTCCACTGGGCTGTGGGCACCCATGGCCTTCGACAG